ATTAGGTGGTGTCGCTCCAGACTGCCCGTCGAGATACGGTATCTAAAAGAACTTCATGTGGTTCTCATATGCCATTAGCTCCTCACTTAGCTTCTGCACTTCATTCTCCGCCACCGCCAAGGCTGCCGCCTCTTCAGCCCACCACACACCCTCACTGCTGTGAATCACAACAGCGTTGTGACGCTACTGGGTGGAGACGGGAGGGAGGGAGGGAGAAGGGGAGGAGACGAGAACGACGGCAATTGCGTCGCTGGGTGGAGAGGGGGAGGAGAGGCGGAGAAGGTGAGGAGACGGGAATGATAAATTAGGCTTTTAATATAGTACCTGATTTTTGCAAAAATAAACTTCAAACTTGATCTTTTAAAAGGTATACCTGATTTTTAAAAAGGTCAAACTAAACCCTTGGTTTCATGTAATTTCCTCTTAATTCAACCCAAGGTCATCAAACTTTCATCACAACCATAATTAGATTACTGAACTTCAATTTAATAGCAAATAAACCACTCCGTTGCTAAGATGTTCTGCATACGTGAAAATGCACGTGAATTTTTAATAACAGTCTCCTAACTTCCGCATAAACTCAATTCTATGAGGGGTAACATAATTTTTTTTTTTTTTTACATATGCACTTTTACATACGTGTTTTTCTTAAAATAAATTATTTTCAAATTTATTTTTGGTCAAACTAATCAACTAAATGGTTTATTGAAATCATAAAAATCATAGTTATGTTTTTATTTTATTGTAACTCATTATTCGTGAATGTTATAACTTTTACAACTATATAAATCCCTTACACTGAATTCATTTTCATCTTATATGCTCTTTTGCAAAATCGAGTCAAGCATTATTGGACTTATATTTTGTTTTGGAGAAAAAATTGAGAGTTCTGAAAATTTTCTGTGATTTCACTTTAAGACATCTTGTTGTCACGAGTTTCGATCGTTCTATAAGTTCTCTTTTTTGCATTTTATTTTTTTTGTAATAGTACCTAGTACCAGCAACTAAGTTTTGTCCTACATTTACCTTCCTCGACAAATCCAACCCAAGCATCAAGATGAAATCGTCATCGATAGACTGCCAATGCCAAGAACCAAGGCTCAATTCTGCCCCCACGAACAGCACTTCCAACAAGGGGGTTAGCAGCGGCAATTATTGTCTTCGAAAGACACATTTAGTTTCATCCTCCATTGTAAAATTATGAATAGTGAATGACAATTTTTAGTTGTGCATAACATATTTTTTAACCTCTGTCTAGCCAAAGAATTGGTCAAAATCAGCACAACGAGCAAATTATTTACGCTTACTGTTGAAAAACTCAATGAGTAGAACCTGGTCAAATTTACACTTCAAAAATGACACTCTTAAATTATTTTTCCCTTAATCACATCAATAATTTAGGACAAGAAATAAGTCCAAGAAAAGGACCCAAAGTGAGTGGGTCCATTCTGCACTCTATATATTGTGCAAGTGTCCTCACCCACTAGAGTTTGGAAAATATTTCTTTCCTTTTAATTTTAAAAATATTTTTAATTCCTTTTTTAATTTTTTTTAATATTTTTAATCCATGATACTGACATTCATAACAGATTAAGAAAAGAAAATGTATGGATTTGGTTGGTTAAATTGCAAAATGACAAACTTTTAGCCACTGAATATAAATAAGTTTTTCTTTTGTCGCGGAAGATAGCTCCAACATCTTCGAAATTGTGATTTTCGGGATCAATTTTACGTTATATTTCTCTACCAAACAATCAATCCAAACGGATCTAGTCCACAATCAATATATTCATCTCGATTGTTCCTCCTTTTCATCTACAAAGGACAAGATAACCGTGATAATTTGTAAGCCACAAAGGCATATGAAAAACAACGAAAGAAGGCAAGAGAAAGGATCAAAATACACAAGATGAAGGCACCAATTTTCTCTCTATATGGCAGCCGATTTTCAAGCAGGAGCAACATTAATTCTTTAAGCTACTTTCAACGGTTCACGTTGTTTTCAAGTCGAGTCTTTGGGTTTGGTTGTTGGTAACAATTTAATTCACCGATCAATGCATACGAAATTCAATACAACGTTTACATTATAATTCAAAATTCATTGAGTATTAAAACCCAGCATCTTTCTTTAAAATTGATATTTGAGTGTTTAGTGCATTTTCCACTTTTATATGAAAAATATTTTTATAGTTTATGAATTGATCGAATCAACTTATAATTACTTTTACCTATTTTCAACAGTTTTCTTTTCTTTTGAAGATATTAAGTAGGAAATATTAAATTAATTATTTCTAGTGTTTTATGTGCAGTTGATTTTCCTTAAATTTCGAGCTGGGCGCAAAACCTAATTCCGTAAATGAAGAAAATAAAATTTTCAAATAATAGATATTTTAGAAAATACAATACAATTCAATATAATTGATAAGATTATAATTTTTTTTTTTCCTTCTACTGAGGAAAATATTACAATTTATTTTTTATTTTTTTCAATTTTGTTTAGTGCCACCAAATCCAGTCCAACCTAGTACCTGCCGTTTTGCTAGAATGATGTTAATAATGTATTAACTAGAAAAGTAGAAATGAAATTCGTGTGATTCCTTTCACTACAAAGGATGCAATCATGTGATTTTAGGATAAATTGGTTCAATCTTACCTTTTAGGATAACGGGGATAATTCTAGTTTTGAACGGACTCACCTGTTTTTTTAACATTTGAATAATTAAAAATTTGAGCTCTACGCCCCTAATATTTTATTTTGAAATAAGAACTATAAACATATCTTATTGATCTTTGAATATTTGCACAGTTTATTGACTATCACTTTTTATTTCTCAATTTCGGGAGACGTTCTTAAGGAAAGATAAAACAAAAGCAAAGGTATATAGACCAAAAAATTGCTCGTGAATTTAAATTTATTTAATACGCGCTTTTATGGGGAAAAAAAATTAGTAAAATACTATTTAAGATAATTTACAAAATTGAATATATGATTGGAAGTTGAAAGTAGGGGAGTGCACGAGTCGGATTATGTTCGAACCCAACTTGACAGCTGAACTGACAGTCCGAATTGGGTGAGATCTCAACTCAAATTGAACTGGCAAAATTCAAATCGATTTGTTAATTTTTTTTTTCCTTAAATAAAAATTAATTTTTTAAAACTCCGATCCCTCGAATCGAGATTTTCGGGTTGATCCAAGTTAGTCAAAAATCAAATCAACATTTCTCCAAATCGACTCAAATCCCTCCGAAACAATTCGATAGTTTACTTCGATTAGGCAGAGATAACTCACCCATCCCTAATTGATTGGGTGATTTTATTCGGTATTTTTTTTGCTTTTATTTCTCCCTCCAAAAGTAGATAAAAGAAGAAAAGTTGCCATGTGATCATTATAATTCTCCAACCCAACCCCACCCTACCCCAACCCCAACCCCAACCCCAACCCCAATCACATACCAGGACTTTCACTGAGGCAAAAGTAAACAACTTCTCATTTTTTCTGTGAACATTCTTCTATCTAGAACCTTATTTCATATGATGTCTTGAATTTTTATACACATATCCCTGCCCAAAAACCTTTGAAACTAAGACCCATAATAAAAGGAAAAAAAAAAAAATGGATCACAAGATGTCCGTACCTGTCTTTGAGATGCTGTTTTGGGGACAAATCACCTCCAAGATTAGATATTAAAAAAAAAACCCATGGTTCCCTTGCTCGTCTTTGTAAAATTTTGAAGTGACGGCCAGTTGGTTATAAGATGAATGGCATAAGAATTGAATTCAATTGAAGCCACGCTTAACTGAAATATCAAGGATCATCATGCCGCTTCCGTGGAAGAAGGTGAAGAGCGCAAGACTTTCCCAGTTGGTGAATGATCACTTGCACAACTCTCAAAGAAGACATGGAGACTCTTCTCTTTTGGTGGAGACTGGATTCCCCACATCCCTCGTGGATCTTTTCATCAAGAATCGAGAAAAACTGAAAAAATCACCCAAGAAAAGGAGGGGAAAATCCATTTCTACTCAGTTTGATGATCTAGCGCCTTCTCGATCCTCGCCTTCTCCTATGCCTTTGCCTTCTTTTGATCCCACTCCTTTGGCTTCACCTCTGTATAGTCCATCGCCTTTGGCTTTGACTCCAGAGTCAAAGGGTGCGAATAGTGGGGAAGATGTGGGAAGTGGTCTTAAGAAGGGTGTGAATACTAATGGGATTTTCTTGGCAGTTGTGAAAATGTTGCTTATTGTGGTTTTGGCTTTTGGGTCCAAGAAATTCGCATTTGGGTTCACCTTGTCGGCATTCTTGTTGTTTTTCGTCGATTATGTGTTGAAACACATTATTCGATGGTTGAAGCCGTCTTTAGAAACGCAAAAGGGGTTAAGATTGAGGATGCAAAGGGTTTGGAGAATTTTCAGTTTCGTAGAGGACAAGTTAGTGTGGAAGAAAGCTGGTTTTTTTAAGTCGGAGATACAAGTGGAGTGTTTTAGCCCTGCTTATTCTGATTCGAAGGATCGTGATTCGAATTTTCAAATTCAAGAAACTCAATTTGTTGAACAAAAGTGTAAATTGCCCCGTGTTCAGGAAATTCAGTGCGAGGAGATAATCGATGAGTCCGGCTGGGATGGGAGTGATGGGTATCCTGGATATGAAGAAAGGGACTTAAAGATGGTGGTGATGGAGAAACAAGAGTTGACGAGTGAGTTGTCAGGATCGGAGAGAAAGAAGCCGAGGAAGGTTAATATAAAATCAAAAATGAAGAAATTAATACCAAAGAAGTTTCGCAGTTCAAGGCCAAAGGAACACTCTGAAAGTAGTGAAATTAGTCCAATCAAGGAAGATAAGGAACACTCAGAAATTAGTGAAATTAAGGAAGATAACATTGCCATACTTGAAGAACAAGAAGTACATGACTATGAAGATGTAAGAGAATTAGAAAATCATAGCAAAATGTCTTCTTTATCAAGCAGGAGATATGACAGGGAAGATTTAGTTGTTGCTGATAATTGTAGAAGTGAATTGGGTATCGAGGAGGCAAGTCTAAATGGGGAACAGAAGAGAACAAAAGGACAGATTTGGAAATATTTTGTACTCAGTTTGATTGTTCTCATTGGACTTATTGGAGGTCGGATATTCGCCCTTTTCCTTACATTATTCTGGTGCTTGGCGAAACACTACAAACATACATAATAGTTCCTAGAATCTGGTCTTTTTGCTAAATATCTAGTTAGATTTTGGACGTTCTTGTTAGCAGGGGCCTTTGATTTTTTATTGTTGTTCTCTGTGTTGTTTGTGATATGGCCTTTAAGCCTCAAAGTGTTCTAAAAGCTTTACATATGCAGGAATGTTCAACCTTTGGTTGGCCAGTACGAGTTGTGTACCTTGAACTGCTGTAAATATATGGATACAAATCATAAGTATGATATAAGAAACTTTACTTCGTGTCCTCACTGCTTGATGCTCTAATTTGTTTTTCTTTAGCTCTCTGCATCTTGTAGACATTTATTAGCTCCTTGTTCTGATATTGAACGAAAGAGTAGCTCTATATTTGAAGTGCTGAAGTTGGCAGCGACATTTTGGGTTTCTGAGTGGAAACGGTGAGGGTTCTTTTGCAATTTACTTTCATCAAGGAGCTGATTGGATATATAGAGTCTCATACATTTCAGAAGTTACTTGGGAAACATGGTAAGCTTAGTTCATTTTGGTATGCTAAATTTCGTTCATAACAGTATCCAATTCCTTCAGATGTTGCTTATGAAACATGTATGTCGAAATACTTATGCGAGTTTCACAGTGCATAGGTTGTAATAAAGTTGCTTTCCTGTGTTCTTCCCCTCCCTTGCATAATATTATGATTGCTGCTGTTGCTGGGAATTAACTTCCATTGAACCTTTAATAAGTTGAGATTTGCTTAACATTGTAAAGCGAAAGCCAGGTGTCTTGGGTCCTAAATGTATAATCTTACTTCTGTATTAGGCCATCACGGGCTGCATGTCATATCTTGAATCATTTATCTTAGAATCTAACAGAAGTGGATGCAACTGTTATATTGAATGCGAATCACTATATATTTTGCTTGTTTTCGATTTTATTTGTTTGCACCGAAACTATCTTAGTCATTCACACAGGAGAAACTTTTATGACGTGGACATGCTTGTGCCATCTCAAAAGAAGCGTCCATGTGCAACTTACATGTAAATGTCTGTTGTACTGAAAATATCAACGTGTCACAATGCAAGCATCTGCGTGTAACTTTCTCGAACATATTTTCCACTTCAATACACGTGGATCGACTTTTTCCACTTTCCGCAACGCCAAGCAGTGGGTAGAGGGACATGGTGTTTCGTCCGTTTAAATAAATTGTCACAGCATATTCTCGCGTACAAATATTTTAGCATGATTTGTGAATTAGCAATGTTCCCATAAGTGACTATTAGAAGTGCATCTAGTAATACTTTAAAGTCTTTGTCCCACAAGTCATCACTGACTCACTGTTTTAATGTACTTAAATGGAACTGAGCAGATACAGTCTGAGATAAAGGGGGTTGTATCCATAAGAATGGATTTGATGATTGTGGGGATTCTGGTGTCGGTTAAGAGTGCAGTTCCATGGGAGGTTGATGCAGGTGAGATAAGTTAAAAAGGCAGTCAAAATAACGATTTTATCAAGTTCGTTTAAAAGATTGAAAGCCCCATAGAATGAAGAGAATTATACGACATGATTAAGGAATTGTTTGCTCGGCTTCATGATGTTGGTACTCGTTTCTTTTAACGCTTTTAGTAATATTATTGATCTCGAGAGTAGGTGTTAGGGAGGAATTAATTAGGAACTATTGAACTTTTTGATAGAAAAACAGTGAAGTTACTAATAAATCAGTGGTTTACTGCAATACAGCATTTCTTGTGAAAGGATGCTGATATCGAACTTGCTAAGACCAGAAGTACTTTCGAAATTGAAAAATACATAATAAAGTTAACATATTGCAAGATCAACCAATTAAAATCGTGCTTTGAGGTTATCGATTGTACTCTTATCCACCTGAAATGCCTTGGTGAGAACATCATCGTCAATACCTGGTACTGAACCAAAAACAGAACTTGCTACAATGACAATTCCAGGGTTTTGGCTGCTCAAGGCAGAGATGGAAACAGCATTTCCATTTCCCACATTTCGCTGAAAGTGAACAAGGCCCATTGGGAAGATAAAAACATCACCCTTTTGTAGGACTTTGCTAAGCAGCTTGTTGTCTGGGTTGGAGGTCACAAAGCCAACCTGAATGCTGCCTTCTAAGACAGTAATAATCTCAGTGGCTCGAGGGTGGACATGAAGAGGAGCGATGCCCCATGGTGCATAGTCAAAACGTACCAATGCTATTCCAAGCGTGTTCAATCCAGGTAATTGAGCTACTGTCACAGGAGTGACGCTGAAGCCCAGAGGGTTGGATGTGTTGCCTGCTAAATGAAGGCCGCTGTAGGTGAAGTGTTCAGCTTGTGCTAGCTTCGAGTCCAAGCACGGGAGGCCATTCACTCGTGCTGCAATCATCAACAAAATCATTAAACAAAAACAAATAATATATCACACAGTAGAATCCATATCGCTCAGGAAAGGAAACAGGGACAGATCAATCACACCTGAACTAGTGTAGTCTGCAACACAAAAATCTTGTAATGGACTTGGCTCAAAGGCCATTGCCAGAGTGCAAGCCATGGCGAGCAAACAAAAAGCAATGATTTGGCTTTCCATCTCGATCTTCTAAGATTTCTTCAATCTAATGAATTCTGTGCACAAGTGAAGTTTTGTATATGGACCTTGTGTCTTTCACTCTATATATACATTTTTTCCTCTAAAGCTGCCGTCTCAATAGAAAAAGTCGAGCATCCTTTAACTTCGTATCTAAAAAATATTATACCTTCACTTCCGGCAATCTTTGGGCAGATTGTGATTAATTGATATGCTGCCGCATAATCTTTACTAGGATCATAAAGAAGCCAAATGGACTGCAAGGAGAAAGTTAGAGCAAAAGTCAAGACCCTCTGCAAATTGTTTTTTCAAATAATTTAAGGTCTATTATTGACCATGCATTGGAGATAAACGCGTAAATTTCATAGTTATTATCGAATTTATGCTAAGCACCATACTTAGGTGACAAACAAACTATCCACTAATGTAGTGTACCACCTAAAGCACAATGCTTAGCATAACTGTGACAAACAAACTATCCACTAATGTAGTGTACCTCCTAAAGCACAATGCTTAGCATAACCTAGGCATGGTGTTTAGAAGATCATTACTCTCTCTCTCTATATATATATATATGAATTTTATTTGTACATTAACATTGCCCTTCATAACATATTGTCTAAAAGAATGCTCGGGGGCAGAGGGAGGAGGGGGAGCACTGGGCTTTATTTATTTATTTCTATGCATTAGTCCAATACAATTTTTTTTCCCCCCGACTGTGTCCCTGTGAATACTGATAATGACCTAGAATGATATGTCAAAGTTGAACATGAACATGTGGTTGGATATCGAGTTCCATCAACTTTAAATAAAAGTCTACATCTGATGCAAAATGTAGTACAAGAAGCAATTAGGAGGAATCGACATTGTCACATGGAGTCATATGGAACCTCCCATTGGAAAAGCATTTGATATCATAAATTGATTGTAACTTAAAATTTTTAATACTGATTATGATAAACCAATAACAGTGATATTAAACATATTTCCCTCAGAAAATTCTCCCTTTTCTTCCTCGAACGGCGGCACCCGATGTTGGAATACTTTGTTCGTTCCTGAAAAAATTATCGGGATCAACAGTGGTCTTAATTTTGACCAATCTGTAAAAATTCCCTTTGAAATATTTCTCTCCATACACCTTCCCTTGACTTAAACTGTTTTTACTATAGTCTGTAATGCCAATGTCCAGATCCCTGTAATTCAAGAAGGATTCCCTCGGATTACTCGAAACATAAGGGGTCATAAAACTGTAGAGATTTCTAATCTGATCAATGTAATTCTTGTCTGATGCAGCATCTTCTTCATTCCAGTTTACAGAATACTGAATCTTGAAAATGTTCCCAGCCCGATGAGGAAATGGGGTTTCAGATTCTGGAATTTCATTCATTCTTCCACCGTAGGAATTGAAAACAAGCCCGACTTTCCCTATGTCTACCATTGCCTTCCACAGAGACTTCAACCCCGTTTTGGGAATAGGAGTTTTGACGTAATCAGATTTTCGTTTCAGGAATTTTACAGAGTCGGGGGTTCTGTTGAGTAGCACATTCGGACTTGTAGTGTTGTCGAAATTAGCCCAGTACAGAACTGAGTCAATCCAACTCATTTCCTTGCAATCTGCTTTCTGCAGTCCAAGTTCAGAGAATTCAGAACTCGTGATGGACAACAGTCTATTAGAATCACCAAGGAACATTCCGATGAATGTTGCTCGAACCGTCCTGGATTTGTCTTTCGTAATAGGTTGTAATAGAACCCGAATGAAGAGATCATTGTCAATCTTTTGCATGACCTCTTGGTACTGGGAAACGGCTTCTGTCGCGTTCTGGTCCAAGCCCTTCTCTATACGAAAAACTGTTACAGTAGGCGGAACAGGAACTAGTTGTATTTTATAGGCTAATATAACCCCAAAACTAGCGCCGCCGCCGCCCCTAATTGCCCAAAAAAGATCCTCCCCCATCGCCGCCCTGTCCAAAACTCTGCCTTGTACATCGACGACTAGCGCATCCACTATATGATCCACAGACAGGCCGTATTTTCGCAACATGTTACCATACCCGCCACCACTCAGGTGACCGCCGACGGCCACAGTCGGGCAAACACCAGCCGGAAAACCATTGACTTTGCTTTTCTCCCAAATCCCATAATACAGTTCGCCAATCGTTGCCCCGGCTTGCACCCAAGCAGTTTCGTCCTTAAGATCGACATCAACATTCCGTAGATTAAACATGTCGAGAATGATGAAACTAACATCAGAAACATACGAAATCCCTTCATAATCATGTCCACCACTTCGAATTTTCAGTTGAATTCCAATTTTCTTGGCGCATATAACCGTTGTACTAACATGGGATACTTCCAATGGAGTCACAATGATGGCCGGTTTCTGGGTCGAGGAAGTGTTGAACCGGCGGTTTCTGATGTATGATTGAAGAACCGATGTAAAAGAGTGATTGCTCGGACCGTACACAATTTGTGAGATTAGAGATTGTGGAATTTTATTGTCTGAAAAGCATTGGACAAAGGTGTCGTAAACGGAATCTGAGGCTGCAATAGAAAAACAGGTAAAAGAACAGAGAAAAGGGAGAAGAAGAAGAACATACACACTTTTCATTTTTGATTTTTTTTCAAGGATACAGAAAGAAAATTGGGTATGACAATCATTATATACACGTAGAGAATTATGCAAAATGTACAATATAGGTTGAAAACCTCCTATTTGATATCACTATATCCATTCATTTTAAAAAATTGTTTCTACGTTACATGTTAGAATTTTGATAACACGTGATTGTCTACCAATGTTTAGTGGGGTGAGGGTGAGGTTGACGGTGAGGGTGGGCTAGTTACCAATTTGTAGTTTTCCTTATATTCCGCCTTATGTCACGGGGCCGGATTCAACCATGAATAGGAAAATTGCTCTATCTTTACACAATATTTTAATTTTGAAGGGGTAATTCTTTTTATTTTTTTATTGGTTCTGATTAATTGAATAAATAACACTAAATATTTGAATTGGAAAAAGCATTTGGGAACTTTTATTTTTTACTTCAATTTAGATATTTCATTCTAGTGAATATAAGAAAGTGTGGTTGTAGTTGATGAAAAAAAATTCATTATTACATTATTTTCGTCGTAATGTTAGGCAAAATTTAATAATGTTCGACATTTCAAACTTTCCAAATCAATTTTTATAAAGTATTGAAAAAAAAAAATGGAAGAAACAGGAAGCACAACTTGTTGAACAAGAACCACTTAGGCCAATAACATAATCCGTACAAATACGAAAATAGTGGTCCAGAATCAAAAGATTCACCATTTCGGATATAAAATGTAGGGTGTAAAAGAATTACACCCAACATGTTGATTGTCAGATAAGTTGATAATAATAACCATCACGGTTTTTTATTTAATTTTCACGGGGAATGAGCCAAGAATGTGACTACGCGAGGGAGAACCAACAGGCTGAGTAGGGTGAAAAACCAGTGGCAGGTAATGAGGGGGTGCTGGGACGGAGAATGCAGACTCGAGTTTGATTTGCATTTCACGACTTTTTTTATGAGTAATGATATTTACCATGGTAAAGGAACATCGATGATGTGACAATCCATTATCGCTCACATTTCTCTATCTCTTTCCTCCCGTCTCTTGTAAAAATTAAACTGCTCAATCACATTATTCTACATAGACTGTTACATCACCGATATTCTAATAAATAATATTATTCCTTTTTAACTATCAAATAGCAAAAAACTGTCCAACTCAATACAAATTCGAAAGGTTAAAAGGTCTACTGCATTTTTTCTCGTAAATTGTTTAGTGCTGCGCAATCACAGGACTGCAGTTTCCAGTTTCCATGGTCAATAAATTGAAATTGCAAAGTCACGGATGACTAAAATTTGAATCTTAAATTTTATTAATTAATGTTTTAACCAAGTCTTCGGTTGGAAGAAACACGTGATCAGTAGAAAGTTGACAATAATTACCCGAATGTGGATAATTTAGCATCATTAGTCAAGAAATGAGTTGAAGTATCAAATTTCCATGTACCAAAAATCTAATGTAAATTGACAAGTTCTTAATTGTCTAACAGTGTAAACACATGATCACGTGCTCATGCTAGTACAATGAAAGATACAAACGACCAAGTCAAGAACACAGAAATGGATCCCATTGGCTGAACACCAGACCCTTCGAAATGGGACCCACTCTTAGGATGGGAGTTGCTATGAGATAAAGCTGGATTGAAAAGAAACCGTTGATCTTACATCGCCAAAGATAAGAACAATACTCAACGCTCCACGGATAAGGAGTCAATAACCTTACTACATTGCCAAAAAGCTCTTGCCGGTCCATCACAGGCATAAATACAAACTGAATGCAAATTTCACTTCCATATATTCTTCCTTAATGTGAAAACATAAATAAACTCTAGAAGAGCTACTATGTCGTTAGATTATACTTTTGTGCCATGGCTTCACGGGCATTAGATGGTGATTTCAGCTTCTACCAGTGGTGTGCACTGAAAAGCACGAGATACTTAGTATTACAACATCAAAATGATGCAAATACCCGGAAGCTGCAAGAAGATGTTATCATTTTTATCGTTTTCTAGCTCACTGATCAAGATCCATGTATTCATCTGTCACCCTGTCGGGACATAATAGAAATCAGCATCAAATCATTAATCGTACATGAAATTGAAATCCAAATCTTGCAATTTGAAATTCAAATCATTTAGAAATTGTAAAGAAAGTGTAAAATGAAACAATCAAGATAAATTAGCAAAGATGGATGAATGAAAACATGGTGTTATACTCGATCTGTATACATGTTTGTGCAGCGGTTTCTGAATAATGTTTATACACAAGTCTATGAGATCATTGTTCTGTTTGTAACTAAAAAGTAATAATAATTTGAATTTCCTGACAAACTCCATTTGGGATGTCTTTGGGAAAAGGATAGAAAACAAGTTACTTATTTAGCGAACAAAACTTATTTTCCAGAACAGTAAATTTTTAGCACAGCTAGAAAAAGAACTCGTACATCAAGAATTAGAAATCACTTTAAAGAATTCCATTAGAATATCTAAAGACTTATGAGAAGCCTCGTACCTGTTATTGGACAAGTAACCATCGCCAATAGTTCCTATGACTTTATTTCGTATCTTTCGTACACAAACCTTAATAAAGATGAGAAGTTAAAAAAATTGGTTTCCTTGGTAAACTACTAATAAGATGAAAGTATATAGTAACTGTTAGAGACTATTTCTAGAAGTAGTAAAGCAAATACATTTAGACATTTAGCCCTAATTTATACCCTAATATAGTAGAGTTATTCTTCTTGTACATAGCCTCTGATGTACCTGTAGCATCAGTCAATATAGTATTAGTTCTTTGTATAAATAAACACAAGTTTAATATGAATAAAGTGTGAAATACCATGAGTTCGTTTCATGGTATCAGAGCGACCATAGCCTAGGGTTCCTATCTCCGTCACTTCCTGTCGCAGTCAAGCCCAGAGCTCGCTCACCTAGGGTTTCAATCTCCGTCCAGTTCCATCGCCGACAGCCTAGCTCTTTTTTTTTTCCGACAGCCTAGCTTGTTTTCGGCCTGTAGAGTGTTGGGTTCCTTTGTAGATTTGACTGTCGGTTTATTTGGAGTTTTGGTACTCTTGTAGAGAAGCAATCGATTTTGGGGAAGAAAGGCTTGCAAGTTGGTTGGTCGATTGTCGTATAGACTCGGTTGAAACTGAGCCCGATTTCTTGGAGATTGAAGCCTAATATTTAACAGTCTTCTTACTTATGTTCTGGGACTTTAAGTTGAAGGTGTATGCTTCAACTTCCTGATTGAACTTTCTGGTCGTTGCTTTTTTGAGGTGCTATTTACACAGGTTCGGGTTCTTCAAGCATTTCCACTTTGTTGTGATATTTGCTTTGTTACTTGCTTGATATTTGATAAATGGAGGACAAGACTTCTGTTGTTGTATCTGATGTGATTCCTATGATGTCAAAAATTACGGAACATAAACTTAATAGATCTAATTACTTAGATTGGAGTAAAACTGTTAGAGTATTGCTATAGATAATCACTTAATTGATGAACCACCTAGTGATGGTTCGAAAGCATCATGGCTAAGAGAGGACACTCGTCTGTTTTTGCAAATACGTAATTCTATTGATGGTGAAGTGGTTGGTTTGATAAATTATTGTGAATTTGTAAAAGAATTGATAGATTATTTGGAGTTTGTGTACTATGGCAAGGGAAATATCAAACACACCTATGAGGTGTGCCAAGCCTTTTATCGTGCAGAAAAAAGTGACCGATATCTTACTGACTATTTTATGGATTTTAAGAAAACTCATGAGGAGTTTAATGTGCTACTTCCATTCAGTACTGATATAAAATTTCAACAAGCTCAGAGAGAGAAAATGACGGTTATGAGCTTCTTGGCCGATCTTCCTTCTGAGTTTGAGAATGCTAAATCTCAAATTCTCTCTAGCCCTGAGATATCCTCTTTAGAAAAAGCTTTTAGTAGAGTACTCCGCACAGAATATTCAGCCTCCACTCAACGTAATAGCTCTCTTGTCAGTTGCACCTCTGAATCTGGGATACAGCCCTTTAGAAGTGGCAATAAAGGGGAAAACTCATTGGAGTTTGTGTACTCTGGCAAGGGGAATATCAAACATACCTATGAGGTGTGCCAAGCTTTTTATCGTGCAGAAAAGGGTGATAGATCTTTTACTGACTACTTTATGGACTTTAAGAAGACTCATGAGGAGCTTAATATGCTACTCTCATTCAGTACTGATATAAAAGTTCAGCAAGCTCAGAGAGAGAAAAGATGGCGGTTATGAGCTTCTTAGCTGGTCTTCCTTCTGAATTTGAGACAGCTAAATCTTAAATTCTTTCTAGTCCTAAGATATCCTCCTTAGAAGAAGTTTTTAGTAGGGTACTCCACACAGAATATTCAGTCTCTACTCAACCTAATAGTGCTCTTGTCAATCGCACTTCTGAATCTGGGATACGGCCATTTAGAAGTGGCAATAAAGGGGAAAACTCAAGTAACTATGATCGAAATCTTAATATTCGAGGACAGGATTTGGGAGGTATTGTATGTTACTATTGTCATAAGCCGGGACATGTGAAGAAATATTAGAGAAATTTGAAGCGCAAGAATCATTTGAGCCAGTCAGCCCATATGGCCTCTACTAGTGATACCTTTGAGCCTATTCAAATATCTGCAGATAAGTATGCCAAGTTGCCACGACTAATGTATGTTTTTGAAAAGAGTGGTATAAATCTCTTTGTACTTCATTTCTAGGTCTTCATTTTGGGGTTTTAAAATGAATAGTTTAAATATTTTCTTGCTGATTTACATCCGATGACTCTTCATTCAGAAAATGTTTCACGTCACTACTATATAAAAGAGTGAGTTTGTTTTTTAATGTTCATAAGCCGAATGGCCACCGTAAGTCGAGCCGAGTTGATTGAGCCGCATCAGCTGAGCCACTGTTTTACATTTTTTTTTGCATGTATGTACTATATATATTATTATATATTATTATTGGGAAGACAAATACAAGTGGGATGAGATGCCTTAGCTTTTCAAATTTGACTTTGATGGTAATTCCTATCTCACCATTGACATGAATCATTATAAAATATAGAGGAAATTACACCTAAATCTGGAATTAGATTTCCAATTTCACAAATAATTTAACATTTCAAAAATCAGGTTTTAATTAACAATTTAAAAACATTTTTTTATTTTTATTTTATATAATTATACAATAAAATAATTTGACACAACCAAATCCTAAATCATTTGAACCAATTTTTTCCCCTTCTCTCTCTCTCTCACCACCCCCGACAACCACCTCATCTCCTCCCATTTCTCAACGCCGTCGCCGCCACGATGTGGACTCTTCTTCCACTCATCTCCCTCTCTCGTCTTCACTCTCCCTGTTGTCTCTGTCTTCTCTCCTCTTCCTTACCAACCATTGTCGCCGTCGCTGTGGATCTGTTTTTTCTTGTTTTTATTTTTTTAATTTCGAGTTTGATTTATTGGATGGGTATGGTGGTTGTGATGTGTAGAGCTTTTCCATCATAAGACATCTCCTTTGTCATTCTGAAATCAAAGTTCTCGATCTATCAAGTTTTGTACTCTTCTTGGTGGCGTGGTGGTGGTTGCTGAATATTAATCCTCATCATTTTCCTCCTCCACTGCCTTTGTGTCCTGGGGGAATGAACCAATTGCACAATCCATATTAGAGTATGTTTACGTGTTTGGGTGGTGTTGGCAGTGGATTGGGCGACTCAAATCTGTAATTTCTTTTTTTCTTTTTAGTTTTTGAGTTAGCTATGGCGGATTTGGCGACGATTTTGTTGTTGTTCCATGTTTTGGGGTGGGTGTTACACTGATTGTGGATATGTGGTTTCGTGGTTGGTGGAGGTGGTTTTTTTGTTGGTGGTAGTGCAGGTGGATTTGGTGATGTTGGTGGTGGATATTAGCAGCGGTTAGATGGTTTTGCGGTGGATCTAGCACTGTTGGTGAATCTGGTGGCGATTTGCAGAAGTTACGATTTGGCCGTAAATGATTTGTGTAGTTATTGGCGATGGTGGTGTTGGCAATAGTGAGGTGGTGGTCACAGAAGTCGGTGGTGGTTACGGAGTGGTGCTGTTGGTTCTGGAGACAATGACGGTAATGGTCACGAGGTTGGTCACAGAAGTTGCTAGTGGTCTCAGGGGTGGTCACACAAAAAATCTAACTGTGACCCGTAATTTTTGGATCCGTGACCAAAAAAATAATATGTGATCTATAAAACTATTGAATTGTGATCTCGAAATAATATTTGGCATACAAAATTTTCGATCTGTGCCCACCGATAAAAAAATCTACCCGTAATTTTTGGATCCGTGACCAAAAAAATAATATGTGATCTATAAAACTATTGATTTGTGACCTCCAAATAATTCGTGGCCTACAAAATTTTTGATCTGTGACCGATAAAAAAATTGTGACCTATAAAATTTGTGATTTGTGACTAAAGAAAATATGTGACCTATCAATTTGTGACCTATAAAATTTTTGAAATGTGATCTTAAAATTAATATGTGACTAATTAAATTGTGAATCTATGACCAAATTTCAAAGTGGGAACGGTCATCAGCATAATTGTCGGAATCGGAACGATCGTCGGAAAAGAGTGGTCACAGAAATGGTCGTCAGAACAGTCGCCGGAGAAGAGTGGTGACCGGAACGATCCCTGGAGCGGTTGGGGTAGTGGAGGTGGGGTGAGTTAATTATATTATATTACAATTAAATATTTAATAATAAATTGAGTTATTAATTTATTATTTCATAAATAAAAATTAAAAATCTGAATTTTGAAATTTGGAACTTGTTTTTGTATTTTTGAAATGGTGTAAAGTAAAAACCTGAGATATGTATTGGTCCCTAAAATATATGTCAATCTGTAAATTCAAGGGTAATTGTGGCAAATTAACTATTAGAAAGAGGGCATAATTGTCTTCCCAATTTTTAATTAAATCATGTCAAAAGGTTCACGCAACCGGCCACTCCTTCGTCCATTTTCACTCGCAATTAACTTTTCTTCTTTACTTCGCGCAGGAAGACATTCAATTCATTTTTTCACCTTCCTTTCATTTTCACCCTGTGCTACACGGTTTCACCTTCCTTTATAGAGTGCCATTTTCTTCGTTACTCCGCGCAGTAGGTAAACATTCAATTCATTTTTTCACATTCCTTCCATTTTCAGTCTGCGCTGCACAATTTCACCTCTATTCATTTTATTTGCCTCACCCGTAAAAGGAAGAAGCCCAATCCTTCTTTCTCATTTGCCTCACCCGTAAAAGGACCAACTCAGTTAACCCTAGCGGCGTTCATCCATCGATCTCCCACTAAGGAGCTATTTGGCTGACAAGAAACCTCTATATCGTCCAATTTTGCTTCATTTTTTGCTCACAAAGATGCTATCAAGTTAGGCGTGATTATGGGATGATATATGTACATTACGTTTTTCCCTTTCTTAGTCAGGCGTGATTGTTGTACGTGATTATTGTAATGGCTGATTTTTAGCCTTGTAATTAGAGACTCATACTATTTAATGGAAGGAACTCTCACTTGGAGAGGCATTCAAAACAGAAATCAACGATGTTGATAGAAGAAACAACAGAAGACGGAAAGAAGAAGGAGAAACATGGAGGAAAGGGGAGAACACGGCTGCAAGCCAAACTCAATTCATCATTCAATGTTTGTCCAAAGTTTATAATACAACCATATATAGAAAAATACAACTAAAGGGCTTGGGCTAGCCCACTAATAACAAAAGTACAAATACATAAAATAAAAGTAAATGGCCCTAGCCATGACATTCCTTCTCCTTAAATTAACATTGTCCTCAAGCTTTAAAATCTGGATTGTCTTCTTTATATGTTTTTAGCAACTGCCTCATTTTCTTCACCATCCTTGGATTAAGCAAGTAGTGCAAGATGGCACATGTCCCATTGTGCTCCTCTTCATAATGATATATGGCATCTTCACCAGGAATCATATTCTCTGACCTCAGTTCTTTCTCAAAATTTTGCTTTTCATCTATAGGGGATCCATTTTCATTTTCATCTTCCTCAATCTGATTCTCAACTGTGTATTCAACTACATGCATCTTTGAATCGAGAATTACTTTAAATGCATCACCAGGTTGAATCAGCATGACATTAATTTCCCTTTCTTCAACAATTTTCCCACCTTTCTCGAATGATAGAATAGCATTAGCTTTTCCTGTAGGCATCACTTCTGTCCTTCCATATGTAATGCCAACCTCCTTAGCAATAGCTTGAGAAGTTCTCTAATTATCACTGGTAACCATAATAGGATTCACACCAATTCTCACAAGACCCTCTACTACAACAGTAACTCCTGTATTTTCAGCAAACCTCTTACACAACTCTTCAGAAAACATTCCCCAATCTGCAGTAGGATGACTTGCAATGAATTCATAAAACCATACATAATCCTTCACTTCCAAATATATCTTTGCAACTCCTACCCTAAGTTCGTCAGGGACTTGGTGTATCTGGAAGTATTTCATAGCCTTTCTAAACCACTCACTAGGTCCATCGACCCCAAATGGAGGGAAATCTATTTTTTGCGACTTAGTATCCCCCAAATTATCATCCCTAACATTGTTACCCAACTCTTTGACACTAGATCCTTGAAATGACAATACACTATGATAAGTGTGTTTTTACACATCATCAACAAATGGTAGGAGAAATGAGGACATTATTTACCAGCTAGGAGAATACATGATTGCCCTTTCATAATGAATGGTAATGGATCTAAAAACAACATAGTAAATCCATACATTTGCTTGTAAACGTCTAAAATATGTTGATTGCTATGAGAAAACAATTCTAATACTCTCTAATGTGTCTAAACTGATGCAACATTCAATTTTTACTCTTAAATATGTCAGGCAGTATGACTTTAATCTAAAATGAGACAAACTTCAGACATAATTTTCTGCCACAGTTTCAGCAATGCAAGGCAATGTTAATGTGATTTCTAGTTCCAAAAACGCTGCAATTGTGCTAAACATGGAATGTTAAACCAGCTTGAAGGAAACATGTTAAATGCCAATTTTAAACATGCTTTGCATGGTCGCAACTGAAACAGCAGGCACAGTCGAGGCACTAGCATGTCGGCACATTAGAAGCCAAGATTCAAGAAAAAATGAATTTATAGTTTACAAGTTGCATGTAACAGATCCTATAAAGAATTTAATGATATTAAACCTCGTTTGCATCTTTAAAAGATTCAGCATCATTCTTCTTCGGCCATTTGACTCGCCAACACCTATTAACCAACAAAACTTAGATTTTGTTGAATCATTGTTGATATTATACTTGTAATAATTGCAAGATAAACCTTTCTCTCCCTAAGCGGCGGGCAAGTTCTTCAGCCAAGGCTTGACCTGGTGGGTCCCCATCAGTAGCAAGTATTATGCGAGATGCCTATCAAAAAAAAAAAGAAGGCCGAAAAGCTTTACATTCCAACAATTACATTTTACAAATCATTAATAAAATAAAAAATAATAATAATTCGAACAAACCTTTTCAATGTACTCTTTGCAGTTCCATAAATATTGATATTTTGTGTCCTAGCTTCAAAGAATGAGTAAAAGGGCATTAAAAGCATCACTTCAGTGCAAGGTTCATTATAAAATCTATGATGTCAAAGACAGTGAGGAGGGAGCTGTCTTGTTTGCTGCCCTAGCTCCAGTATACATATTGTCGAAAGTCCTAGTAAAAATGGAGGACAAGCAGCTAATGTTTGAAAAGCGTAACAAAGAAGTGTGGAAATGATGAAAAATATAGATCAGAGAATTAGGCATATAGAAAGGGCAAGAGGGTGAATTGATGCATTTCTCCGAAGATGGAAATCAAAAGGTTCAAGCACGATTACATGTAACTCAATCAAGATTGAAAATGCAAAGCACAACAATATTGGGGTTAGCCATAGATAGCTCAGGAAATAATAGAAGACATCATAAGTGGTTTGTTAAAGAGTTGCAGCCGGAAAGTTGATACCTCTTCAGCGGGAGGGAGCTCTTTGTTTGAGACTTTTGGAGGTGCACCATCCGGCACGCTCACACAGTTTTTAAAACCAGCTTCTTCCATTGCAAGCTTATCCATTTCACCTTCAACCTTAATTTAAAAATATGAGAATAAATAGCTTGAAAATTTAAATTGAATTGACCATTGAAAGCAGAACAATGAAGAAATTTAACTTACAATGATAATATCACTAGCTCCCTTTATATCATCCAGTCCATAAAAACTCTTTTCAGTATTGGTTTCCTGCACACATTAACAGCATTACCAGCGACATAGTATCAGACTAATGATGGTAAAACATCAGAAGTACTTCTATGTTATACTTAAAAAGGCACATCAGAAAACTAGAACAGTCTAATTGACAGCCAGCGCCATAGTATGAATGGTTGGTGCAGTAGGAAAGCCATATAATCACAACGAACATCTTACAAATAGTGTTTTTCTTGTAAATTTGGATCTTTTTAGGCAAAAAGAACAATTAACAATTCGCGTAGACATACCTGCCAAAATTTCTTAGTAATATCCCTATACTTGCAGCTAACAAGTTCTCCATTTCCTCGATAGGTGAAAGCAATAGCAATCTGTATAGAAATCTTCATCAGACATTCTTCCAGAGACATTAGTAATTAAATCAAATTCAAGTTACTAAATTATAATAGCTTCGAAGAGTCAAAACAATGTTTCTGACACCCCTCTCCGTCTCTCTAAAGTCTGTTCCCTGCCCCTCCTCTTCTTTCAGGAGAAGGGCAAAGGGCCCAGGTTTCAAGCTAGATGAGGATACGGTGGAAATGTAATTACTGCCATGGCTAGAAATAATTCTTTAGCATGACAAGAAAACCTCGTGATTGCACACAAATATACATGAACATTTCTGAAAATAAAACAACATCTGCACCTGGTTGCCTCTTCTTTTTTGCATTACAGAATTTCTCCGCAGTGTTTCCCCAAATATCATTCGCTCAGCAAAATATGCAAGTAGCTGAAACAACAGTTAGAGGGCATCAACAAGGTTGAATATCTCCGTCAGATATAGAGAAACCACAAAGAGAACCGGTATAGAATCATAGAAAGGGAACAAACGGTCTAAATTATCTAAACAAGAAAAGAGGCACAAGATTTTGCAGTGCCAAACATGCAGTAAGCTCATAAATTATTACAAAATATACACATTCAAAGTTTATTAAGATTCAATGACACTGGGATCAATCAAGAGATTAAACAGAAACAAATCCCCAAGATTTGGGATTTAATGTAAACTGTATAAGGCTTTAGATGTTCACTAACTCATTGACAAGTAGTGCATGTATTGACTTTCTATGCTTGACTAGCATTCAAGGTTTCCATGAAAGTTCTATCTCTTGGTCGCACCATGCATTCAGATTATATTAAGTTGTAAAAGTCCACATTTGATTCCTTGTACAATAAAAAATAAATAATTAAATAAAACATGTAATGTTCTAGTCTTCTAGTCACAGGTCTACTCAGAAAGAATTCCGCAATCTCAATTATTAAAAAGCATGCTTGAAACTATAATTTATAGATCATAACAGCAGAGTTTGGTGATAACTTCTTGAACAGATGTGAAACAACATTAGCAAAAGAGATTCTACTTCCCAGTTAATTGTATGGAAGATAATGTCCAAACATATATAACAAATTAATGATAACTACCTCATTGCACAAAGGTTCCAGTTCCAGACTCTCTTCTGTGATTTCTCTGAATGGTTGTTTTGCTTTGGCTATTCTACTCATTTTTGCATAAGTAGATTTTACATCAGCAAAGGCCTTCAAGCAAGATAAGCACTAGATCACGAGTCATGTACCATTGGTAGTCAGTTAAGTAACTTCATTTGAAACATACCCTTGTAGTGCCTCTCCACCCACATTTAGCCCGAAAGCAGGTCCACATTGCTGCAGCACTATGACATACAGGGGTATATTAATATAATTCTGTTTTTTTTTTATAAGTAATCAGAGAATATATTAATAAATCAAGAGATAATACATGGGAAATGTATTATCAATTTAAACAATACAGGAACGACATGAAATTAGGCAACCCAAAGTGTATAAAGTTCAAGACCAAGATAATGTAAGGTTTGAATAAAAATGAAATCGGTAAAGATATGTGGAATGTAAATATCAAATCACCACTTAAAACAGTCA